TGGGGTCTTGGAAACACGGTGTTTAAGAATAGGCCGAGTCTCCAAGATCACTTTATTCCAAACTCCCAGCTAATTCGACACCAAGAACAGTGTGCATGACAAGTCTGTGTGAGGGATGCTTCTGATGACTGAAAACCCCCGTGGCCGGGAGCCCGGCACTCCCGGGCGGCCCGTCCAGGCTCCGGCTTCTGAGTCACGCCTCTGCGCCTCCCACGAGCAGGGCCTCCTGGGCGAGCACTGCCCTCCAAGGGGGATTTCAAGCGACAGATCCCAGAGGAAGGGACTGGAGTGCGATTACATTATTCTTCCCAACAAAAAAGGAAATAGTAAGCTCAAAATAAGAGACTACCCCCCTTTATAAAAAAAATACCAGAAACAAGAATATACAAACCCATTTACATATAGGCTGTTCTACTGAGTTAAAAAAAAAAAATGGGCAGCCCTGGCCGGTGTGGCTGAGTGGGATGGAGCGTCATCCTGTAACTGAAAGGTTGCGGGTTCGATTCCCAGTCAGGGCACATACCCAGGTTTCAGGTCTGATCCCTGGCCTGGACGTGCATGGGCAGCAACCAATCAATGCTTCTGTCTTGCATCAATGTTTCTCTCTCTCTCTTCCTCTCTCTCTCTAAAAGCAATTTTTAAAAAATGTCCTTGGATGAGGATCCAAAAAAAAAAATTATAAGCAAATATGAATTCCCAAAACGAAATGCTACAGAGAGTTGCCCATACTTCTCTCTGAAGACTAAAGACTTTCAATCTGTAAAGATTCTCATTTAGAAAATTCTTTCAGTTTTTCTGATTACAAAAGGAGAGAGCCACCTTTTCAGGGCTCCTCTTTCTTAACATAGTAGAACGTCTGGTTGTCTCAAACCTCAGCAGGAGGGAGAGGCTGCTAAGCTGGTGAAGGCGCCTGGCAGCTCAGCACGGGCCGTGGCAACTTCGTGGGTGATCAGGACACACCATCAGGTCTTATAACCAGGACTCATCCCCTATCAGGTTGTTTCCTGTAGTTCCTTAGACAGAAGAGTCTAGAAAGTGTCATGTCTAAAGGCGGGGTAGAAAACCACATTAAAAATTGATACTGGTGCTTCAACCCCACCCAAATTTTCAAATGACAGCTTGCAACGTGTTACTTGGTGGGCGGGGGCACGGTGTTTGGCCCCTACCCCAAATGCACATGTTGAGTCCTAACCCCCCAACATGATGGTGTTCAAAGGTGAGGATTTGGGGAGATGGTTAGGTCACGAGGTTGCGTGTTCGTGTTGGGATTATGGGACTAGACGCCAATGCGTCTCCCTGCCTGGTGAAGGCACAGTGGGAAGGCAGCAGAGAGTCCTCACCGGAAATTGAACCCTGGTGGACTTTGATCCTGGACTTTCCAGCCTCCAGAACTATGAGAAAACAGCGTTCTGTCGTCGAAGCCGCCCAGCCTGCGGGATTTTTGTCATGGCTTCCTGAGCTGACCGAGACGCTGAGCAGCCAGGAAACCCACAGGACAAGGCCCGTGCCTGGACACAGCGGCTCTGGCACCTGCCTCGGGCCAAAGCCTGGCCTGTCCAGCCCTCCTGAGACATGGGGAGCAGAGAAGAGCCCCCAGAGCCTAGACATGAAAACACTGGCGTGGGGCGGCGTGAGGAAGCCGGGGAGCGAGCGGCAGCCCTGCGGGCGGAGGAGGGAGTCAGCCACGGGGGGGGGGGGCACGTGCGGGGAGCCCTGGGGCCATTCTCTTTGGGTTTGTCTTAGAGCAGAAAGTTGGCATTCCCCACAGCATAGAGCAAGGCTCTGGTACCTCACGGTCCACGGGTCACACGGTGCCAGGAGGGTCTTCAGTATGTGTACACATGGCAGGTTCCCGCAAAGTGCTGGGGGGATGCAGTGAGGCAGGTGCAACCGAAGAGGACCCTCCTCCTCTTAGACCCTCGGTAGAACTATTACGTGCCCAACCCTGGGGCCCGAGTGCCCTCCGGATCATCAGGGACAGGCTGTCTGCGCAGGAGCAGGAGGGAACAGACCAAGGCCCAGGGTCTCAGAGGGCAAAGGGCAGGTCCCCGGAGCTAGCGGTCCCTGCTCAGGACGCGCATTTCAGCTCCTATTCCAACGGCTGTGCTTGGCCCACTTGGGTCCTCTTTCCAATCCAGGCCCCTCCTTGAATCGAAGGAAAGGAGGCTCAGCAAAACCAAGACTGGCCACAACTGGCTGATCTCCCCCGTGTCTGGAAAGGCACTGCTCCCCTCGGCCCCAGTCCCCTAAGATTTTCCACCGTCCAGCCCATATGCGGAGACTGCCGGCAGCTTTCTTGGGGCCTGAGCTTTGCTGAGGTGAATCAACACCTTCTCATGACCAAAAGCAGCAACGCCTCTTGAGAAGGGCTGTCAGACGCCCTACCAGACGAGGGCCAACGCGTTGCCTTTCCCATTATTCCCAGTTGCTGCAGATCCAGCACCTGACATCATCCCAGGGCCGTGCCCAGGCGAGGTGCTCACTCCCACTCCCATTGGAAATCACAGCCCTGCCCTACGTAATCGTGAATGTCAATATGCTAACAGTGCTACGCTGGCCAAGACAAACCTCATGCGTTTGGTTTAGCGTTGGGTGCCAAGTAACACACAGCTGATTAAGCCAGCGCACAGATGCGCTGAAGTCATCTGGCTGTCCAGTGTCTCCATTTGCCTTTTTCCAAGGCAGGCGTCGGCTGAGACGGGGCCCTGGCCAGGCCACGGACGGACACATGAGGATCGCTCGCAGGTCCGAGCAGGGAGCTGCGCCCTGCAACACGGTCTCTGGATTGTTGACTCACCAAACCAGACAGTTAGTGGCACTCGGAACATGGGACTTTGTGCCTCCCAGGCTGTGAGACAAAGGGCTGTGAGGAGAGGGCAAAGGGCAAGGCGGTAGAATGCCCACCGTCTGCAGACCCCGTGGGAACAGCGGCCAAATGAGCGTTGCTGAGGACATCTGTGAGGGGAACCGGGAGGGAGTCTATCAGAGAGCTGAACTGGAAAGGGAGGGGGTACAGTTGTGTCTGGACACCATCCGCCCCAAAACGCTGAAGATGATGGAAAAGTCCAACTCAGCTCAATATAGTAAGACTGCAAAACATCTCGACATATGTCCTATGTTCATCCAGCACCATCTAATTGGGGTTCAAAACTAGGATGGAAAACCTCAAAGGAGAATGTTGGTGGATGAAGACAAGGCAGGGGAATGTTACTCAACGAGAACAAACGTTCATCGGGCTGGGCGCTGAACCTATTATGTGCTGGGCACTGGTTTGGGGGTGGGCACTGAGTGGGCAAGGAGGCCAATCACAGTCCACAGAGGAAGGCAGACGTGCTGCGAGGAGAGGCAGAGAGGGCTTTCGCAGGTGGGAGCTCCACCTTCGCGGACTGTCTCGGGACCTCTTTGCCTGGAGCCCCTCCTTCACCCCCCTGCTTTGCCTGTGCCTTCTGCTCAGGTATAGAGGTGTGCATGTCGGGGCTCTCCCCTCAGACCGTCTGTTTCTTCCTGCATGGGGGAAGGAACCTGCGTTTGCCCCAACGTCTTGAGGTAAACCCGGCTACGAGCTGGGTCTTGTCCCTGCCTCAGTGGGCCCATGTGGACGACTACAGGGCGCTACCAGGCACAGTTCGGCTCCTCTTTCCCTCTTGTGAAAGGCGACGCAGAGCACCTTGTCCTCCAGGAAGCTGGCCCAAGGGCGGGAGGGGCCCCCTGGGTCCACGTGGCCCGCACACCCTCCGTTAGCATAGCTGTTATAACACCACCTTAGCTGGAGTCTCTGGGTAAGACCCTGAGTTCTGAGATGACGGTAGCATCCTGTCTCCCTTCCCTGGTGTTCGGCGCGATGGGGACACAGTAAACACCACTGTGGACTGAGGGGACTGGGCGACCTCCGAGCATTTCTGAGCCCCGCTCCCGGGGACAAAGCACCAGCAGGGTGATGGGCGCGTGGAACATATCAGAAGGGGTCCGCGGGAACGCCCCTCCGCGTCAGGGTGACAGAGCGTCCACGGGGGCGGCTGGGGGCGGCCTGGGGCGGCCTGGCAATGGGCTGGGGCCTGGGCTCTGGCCGTCCGCCGCAAAACCTGCTCAAGCTTCCTGGGCGAGTACGGATTCCCCTGTTTTCTAAAGTTCACTGGTTCATTTTGTTAGTAATAAATGTGAGAAATAAAAAGCATCTCCAAGGGACTTGCAGGAAAATGTCCCGGATTCTCAGATACAATTTTAAGTTCTTAAAAGCAAAACCTTTGACTCCCTAAAATGTTACTCTTAAATAAAAGTTTCCCCCCACTACCTGTTTTCAAGAAATGCTTATGATAAAGCCATATTTTTAGAAACTATTAAATAACTGATGATGGATTAAATCTTCTCTAATTTGAAGACATTAAGCAGCAAAATAGAAAAACATTTTGAAATTCTGTGTCAGCAGAAACATTAAAACAAAGCATAGTGTTCTCGCTTCTGAATTGTTTCACTTTGTAAAGGTGTCAGTGTGTATGTGAGCGTGCCTCCCCTGCGGTGAGCAGACCGCAGCGCAGGCGGGGGCGGGGCGGGGGGCGGCATCAGTGGATGGAAGGGGCGGCTGGGAGCCTGGACTGAAGACCTGTGGTTTTGCATTTGCTCAAATTCCTAAAACAGCAAAGCTCTACTGCCACCTCGTGGTGATGTAAGATGCTTACAGGAGGGGTGATCTCAGATTCTAAAAACTACCTTCAAAAACATCCCAGGAGCCCCACCCCCACCCCAAAGGAGATTTCATCTATGAAAAGATTAGAATATGAAATAATGTTGCCTCTTTATTCAAAGTTATCATGGGTTTCATATCTACTTGGTTTCAAAAAGACGTCAGGTCTTTAGAACTAAGGCTACCTCATTTACTTTTGCCATTTGTAACACTTCCATGTTGAAAAAGCCTCCACATTAAAAACAAAAAAGTACCTTTAAATTCCACTGAGACACTGTCACACAAACTAGGACATTTCATAAATGCTTAAGTTCTTTCTTCAATATTCAAGCTTTTCGATTTCATCCATGTCGTCAGGGTCGAGCTGCTTGATGCTGCTGTCTGAGAAAACACGCGAACACGCCGCTCCTACCGGGGCCCGTGTGGGGCCTCTCCCCATCCCACCCGAGTCTCTGATGACCGCGACACCTTTGACTATGTGGTCCCGCAACCCTTGCGTGGGGAGCCTCGAGACAGGAACGTCCTCTCTATTAGGTAACGAGGGGGGCATCAAAATAGCCGACCAATACTAACCCAAATCACACCATATGCACCAGACCACAGAACCCACGTGTCTCGATACCATGGGGCAGAAGCAAGGCCGCAGCGCACGTGCGGGGCAGGGGAGGGGGAGGGGCCTGCGGAGCTGCGGAGGAGGGGAGTGCGAGTGTGTGAGTGCAGGAGGGCGACAGGGCGGGGGACTAAAGCCCCTCCACCGAGTCGCTTCCCAAGACCAGGTCTTCAGGAGCTTCCAGAGCAGGAGCAGGCCCCGACGGCGGTCCTTGCCCCTGCCCCCCGCCAGGTCCTTCCTCAGTCATCCTCACACAGGGCGCGTAATCCGCTTCCCTGAAGGGTCCACGGACGTGTGACAGTCTCCAAACCCTTTAAAGTTATATGCCGAATTGCAGGCATGTGTGTCTGTGCGTGTCCCTGGGGAGAGTGTCCACTGCTTCCCACAAAGGTTAAGGACCACTGTCCTCAAAGGTGGTAGATTTGGAGTCACGCAAGGGCGCCTCTTGCCCTGCTCCCCAGCCATACCCACGGGCTTCGGGGCCCGGGGTCACGTGAGGAGTGGACACCTCAGGGCACGTCGCCCCCCTCCGCCCCCCATGAGCGCCCGTCAGAGAGCACCTGCCTGGCCGGGTGCCAGAGGGTGTCAGAGCCTGCCTCATGCGGCTGGGGGCTGGGGGCGGCCAGCAGGCCTCAGAATTTAGGACCGTCCTGCTTGGCAGGGTCGGGCAAGAAGAAGGGAAAAGGTAAATAAAAGGGGACACTGGGGACAGAACATAACCTTCAAGGACATTACCATTCTACTTAGCACGGTGGTTTACTTAGGGCATGAAAATCTGCTCCAGGTCCCAGACTTAGCAAAATTTTCCATTTACTGCCATGTGTAAATTGATCAACTGTCTCCTATAGGAGCTCCGGGCCTGTGAGCCAGGAGCCTCCTGCGCCCATCCCACTGCCGGCCTCGGCCTGGAGGCTGGGCGCGCGTCCTCGCTGTCAGTGCAAGGGCCCGCAGTGCCCACTGGAAGGGTGCTACTCACTGAAGTGGTCCTGGATCTTCATAAGCAGGGGCAGCTTTTCCATTTCGATCATGTTGAAGGCGAGGCCCTTCTTCCCAAAGCGCCCTGTGCGCCCTATGCGGTGGAGGTAGGTCTCATAGTCTGGCTCCTTCAATTGGTTCAGTGGGAGATCAAAGTTCACAACGATCGTGACCTGCTTCACGTCAATGCCTAGAAGAGAAAGCAGTGGAGGGTGCTGCCACTCCTTCCTCAGGAGACAGCTACCAAGAGCCGCACTCGCCGAGGGTGGACACGCGCCACGGACCTGGTTCCACATGACCGGAGGGGCCCTGGGCCGGGCAGCCTGCTTGCGGAGCACGGCTATGGTGCTGGGTAAGAGGCAGTGGCAGCTGCTCCTGCAGAAGGCTCAACACGTGCCGCGTGTGTGCACCGTTGCACCGTGAGAGGGGCTCTTACCAGGGGCGCAGGGCCACGCCGCCCTCTGCTCCCGCTGCGCAGCGTCACCCCTGCCGTCACAGGGCCCGGCTCCGCTCATCCCGCGGCCATGGCTCCAGTCGGGCCTTCGGAGCCTGGCCCCCGCATCACCACAGCCTGCAGGCCGGCTTCCTCTCCCTTCCCGCCTCCTCTAGTGGCTGCCCAGCCATGTCCAGAGCGTGGGGCTCACAACCCAGCTGCCCAAACTGCACAGGGCGAAGTCCAGGCAGCCAGGACGCCCCGCAGCTGGAGTCCCGGCCCACCCGCTGCTGACACACAAACCCCCAACATCAGGCACGTGGTGGGGCCGTTGCCCAAGCAAACTGCAGATTCTCATCAAACTGAAATCTATGCTGCCTTCAACACCCCCCATCGAATGCTTCCCGGCATGACCCGCGGGATCCCCTGGGGCCTCCACGCCCACCGCTGGCGGCCACCCAGGTCCCAGCCTTGCGCTCCCCGCACGGTGCTTGGACTCTGGAGCTCCACGTGCCCTCTTCCCTCCGGGGTCTGGAGCTGTGTGGTCCAAATGGGAACCATTAGCCTCACGTGGCTGTTTGATTTTAAGTTGATCCAAATTAGAAATTCACCCCTTTAGTCACACTGGCCACGTTTCAAGTGTTCAACAGTCATACATGGCTGGTGGCCACTAACTGGACAGCACAGAACAGGACATTTCCCTCCACAGAGAAATTCCCATTAGATGCCCTGGTCTGGAGAGCCATGGGCGAGGCAGCGGGCTCTGGAGGTGCGGGGACCTCACCCCCGCTCGGGCCCCTCCTCCAGGGGGCCCGGCTCGGCCGGGGCAGGCCCTCAGGTCTCTGCGAACGAGGAGTGAGGAGACAGGGCGTGAGGGCAGGGCAGGGCGAGGCCATAGAGGGGACAAAGAAAGTAGGAAATCCCTTTACTTGAAACATTTTTTCCCCAGTAGTCAATAGTTTTTAAAATTAGAAACACCTCAGAGATGAACATCATTAGTCATTAAGAACACAAGTTAAAAACATGAGATACCACACACATCTACTGGAAACATTAAAATGACACAGTGACAAGACCAAGTGCTGACAAGAAGGCAGAGCACCTGGAACGCTCCTCAACTGCCAGCAGGTGGGAAAACGGTGCAGCCACTTCAGGAAAAACTTCTCACTTCCTTATAAAGCTACACAGACACTTCCCACAGGACCCAGAAATCCTGGTCTTAGGTATTGTATTTACCCAAGAGAAATGAAAACCTCTGTCTACATGAGACCCACACCTGAATGTTTATCACAGCCTTAGTCAAAGTAGCCCCCAACTGGAAACCATCAAAATGCCCACCATCGGGAGAGTGGATGCTTTAAGTGTGGTACATCCATTCAAGGGAACCCTACTCAGCAACAACAAGGACTGACCTGCTAATACATGTAACATGATAATAAATTCAAATGCATTATGTCAAGTGGAATAAGGTGGACACAAAGGCCACCAACTGTATGACTAATTCACATGGTGTCCGGAAGAGACAAAACAGGGAAGCCAGACCTATAGTTGCCCGGGCGCGAAGCAGCAGAGGCCAACGATAAGGCAGCACAGTTTTGAGGGGACATGGCTGTTCTGTGTATTTCGATTACACGGATGGTTACGGAACTATGTATGTTTGTCAACTCACTGTACACCATATACTTCACATTGTGTACTATGTACCGAGCCATATACTTGAAAAGAGTAAATTTCCTCACACATAAATTATACCGCAACAAACTTGACTTTAAATACACACACGTGCGCACACACCTCGAGCACAGACGTTGGTTGTTATGAGGACTTTCTCCTGCCCCTCCCGAAACCTCTGAATGATGCACGCTCGCTGCTCCACGGTCAGCTCTCCGCTTAACAGAGACACTTGGTGGCCGTCGTGCAACATCTCCACCGTCAACCACTTGGCATTTTGACGAGTCTATGTGATTTAAAAAAAAAAAAAAAAAAGCCAGCCCAGCCCAGCCCAGCCCCCAGTCACAGCAGACCGGCTGTGTCTACGGTGCTCACACATGTGGGGTGGGGCCAGGAAGGGCTGTCCCAGAGGCACCCAGAGTCGGGCACGGGATTCTTCTGTGCTTCTAAGGGCCCCGTCCTCTCAGCTTGTCAGAGCTGTGGCTGCTTAGCCATGAAAGAGGTAACAAATTGCTCTGTCAAAGGGCACCTGTCGAAACCCCACCAGAAGCATGGACCCGCGTGGGGAAGCGTTAGAAGCCATCGTTCTAACAGGAGGGCACCCTCTGTGTAACATACTTGTGGGGGGGGGGGGGGGGGGGGGGGGGGGGGGGGGGAGGGAAAGAAAGAAAAAAAGGGGGGAAAAAAAAAAAAAAAAAAAAAAAAAAAAAGAGGGAAAAAAGAAGAAAGAAAAAAAAAAGAAAAAGGGAGGGGGGGGGGGGGGGGAGGGGGGGGGGGGAGGCGAGTCCCATTCTGTGAATTAACTGAAGTTTCACCCACAAGATACAAATCATCTTTGCCTGGAGTTACTCGAAGACTAAACTGCACAATGTACCAAAGTGCTGAGCACGGTCCCCTCTGTGCTGAGCTACGTGGCACCTCTGTGTGCTGCTGTCCCCTCCCTCCGCCTGCAGGAAGCCCGGGCGCTGCAAAGGCCGCTCCGGGGGTTACCTGGCAGAAGATGATGGCCTGGCCGATGGTGATGCCGCCGTAGATGTTGCACAGGGCCTGGTACTTGTCCCGCCTTTCCTCGCACAGCACGTAGTACTGGCGGATGTTATTCAGGGTCAGCTCCTCTTTCCGTAACTTGATCACGTTGGGGTCAGGAATGATTCGCTCTGCAAACTGCCACACGGAGTCCTCAAAGGTCGCAGAGAAGAGGAGCATCTGGCACTCAGGGGACAAAGCCCTGTGACAGAGGAGGGGAGGAGGCTGTGACCTACTGCCACCGTGCCACTCTCCGTGGAGGCAGCCTCGAGCACCTCATTCCTGCTGTCACCGGCTGCTCCCCACACACCCGCGCCGGGGTCAGCGTCCAAGGTGTGCCTGCCAAGGTGTACCTCCGTGCAAAGAGCAACGTGTCCGGCTCCTCCTTGCCACTCAGAATTGGGAAAAATTGCACACTAAATGTGGAGTGCAAGAGCACAATTTATGGGTGTGTTCCGGGGGGTTTCAGGTTTTCACACCGATTTTTATCTTTAGGAGAAGCCACGCTTGAGAGCCTAGGCACTGTTCACGGTGACTGATTCCCGCAGCGCTCCGTGGGGATGAGGGACACAGCGGCCGTCCCTCCACGGCAGGGCTTGTTTCTCGTGGGGGAAGGAACAGCAGCCACAACGAACTTTACGTGCAATGAGAAGAACCCAGATATAAGTAAAAAGGTGGGGGGATCTACTGCATGTGAATTGTAAAGTTAACCCATAACGAAAATAGGGCTAAGTTTATATACAGTCCAAAACCAGGCAAAATGCATCTATGGAGTCAGCAGCTGGGGTGCAGGTTCACCCCAGGAAGGGGGGGTACTGGAGGCAGGAAAGGGCTGTGGGCACCGTCCAGGCTGCCGGCAACGCTCCGTTTCTTGGTCTGTGCCACCCGCTGCAGAAGCACGGCCTGTCTGTGATCTCTCACACAGCTGTGCCTGGTTTATACATCAGTACAAAGCTAATCTCTAAAAACACAAGAGGGACCAGAGAGCAGGCCCCACTTATGAGAAGACAACAGTGCACTTAGAAAAACATGTTGTTAGTGCTGAAAGAGAGAGAGAGAGAGATCACACAGCCCAGGGGTTCCCCAAAGCTACTATCAGCCGGGGCCTGGCTCATCTGCCGAGCTTTTCAAATAACAGTCGGACAGACTTCAGCCACCGACGGTGAGCTGCCTGCACGCGCGGTCTCCTCGGCTCCCCACGTCCCACAAGCATGACTCTGCAGAGACAAGAAGATATGAATCCACAAAAAACACAGAGACTAGAACAGGAGGAATTGGTAGATAAGACGTTTCAACCTATTTTTCGAAGGCAGAGAATGGGGTGAATAAGAACGGGGATGAAGCTCCAACATGAGGGCCACAGACAGAGATGGTGATGGAAAACGCCGCTGAGCTGGAAGGGCCACTGGGAGGTCTGGGACCTGCGGGCACCAGAGGCCAGAGAACTGGGGACTGAGGGGCGGCAGCATGCCAGAGGTCATCGGGGACATTCTGCACTGGCCTGCCGGGGCCTCCTGGCCGTCGGCTGCACCACAATCCTTCATGCGGAAAACAGCGGCTCCCGGCCTGGCGTCCAGGCCTGGCCGATCCACTTCAGGAAGTTTATGCCAACTATGCAAGGAGGGCAGCTCTGCAGAACACACTGGGTTTTGAAGACTTAGCGAGAAAAAAAGAATGTCCACTATTTCATGAATAATTTTTATATTGACCGCTTGCTGAAATGCTATTTTTGATATGTTGTGTTACATAAAATATAACATAATTTTACCTGTTTCTTTTTCTAATGTGGCCAGTAGAAAATATAAAATTACACATGTGGCTGGCATTCTATTTCTATTGAACAGTAGTGTGATTTCACCTTTTTTAAGCAAAAAGGAAAGCTGAACAATGAATGGATAAACCACCAACATAAATACTCTAATCATTACTATTCTCAGGCAGAAAGCCCTTTTTGACTATTAAGTCTTTCTTGGAATTCTGAGTATTTTATTTGCTATTATATATAAATATACCAGCACATTAGGGAGTCTCGCTTGGTCTTTGGCCAAAGTTGTCTTAAAAAGCGGAAAACACGCATGCGCAGCAGGTGGACCGCTCCCCGCTTCAGGCAGCCGGCGCAGGCACGCCAGCGGCTAGCGGTTTATTCTGTGCAGATTCCAGTCTCGGGAAAAACAGCCTCGGCAGGAGGCAAGGGGGAAGCACGGAGCTGAGGATGCGGGATCAAGTGAAATACACACATGAACGGGGCCCGCCCAGCCCGGTGTCCTGCCGTGCTTCTAGAATGCCGGCCGCCAAGTGTCTGTCTCCCAGGACGGAGACTGGCGACTGCTTTATAGTCCTAAAGAGCACCAGATGTCAATCATCCTTAAGTGGCGCTTCCTGAGTTACAAGCAGAGCTGCCACCAAGCTCTCCAGCTACCCCGCCTGTAGTGTGAAAGGCCGGCGTGTCGCCAGGTGTGAGGAGGAAAGGGACTGCAGCAGACAGACAAGTACACTTAGAAAGCGGAAGAACCAGAGGCACGGCCACATGGGACAGACTGACAGCTGCGAGGGTGGGGGGACAGGATGAAAAAAGGGGGAGGGATTAGCCAAAGAACGTGTATGCGTGACGCATAGACACAGACAACAGTGTGGCGATGGCCAGGGGAGGAGGGTGGGGTGCGGGGGAGGCGGAGGCTGGGTGGAGAAAGGCAAAGGCGGGGCAGGGGGAGGAAAAGGGACATCTGGAATAGTATCTACAATAAAAATAAAGGAAAAGAGTAAACTTAGATAACTCAAGACAGTGCTGAGAACAGAAACTTTTAAATATTGTAACTGATACCCTCAGAGAGACAACAGCAGTACGTTGCATCCATAATGCAAGAGCAGGGCGCCATGGAAAAGAAACAGAGAAAAGCACCGGCGTGACCCAGACAGGACAGAGGGTGGCTAATGGCAGACGGAAGGACGCATATAACTGGCCTGAAGAGGTAAATAACAAATACAGAGCATACTGTACCGCAGAAAGGAAAGAATTTGGGATCAGACCTGTGGAGGAGGAGATGTGGAAACCACAGGTCTGATCCCAAAGTCTGAACTTTTTAATTCGAAGTTCTTTTTGCCTCCTCTAAACACACCAGCTGGAACAGATGCGTTATTAGTCTGGCCACGCCCCAGAAAGGGGCGTGCACTAGTGCACCCTTCCCTCCACACCATGAAACTGAGCACAATTATGTTTCCTGGTTCACAGGCTGCAAGCAAAGTGTCATGTCCAGTGATATGTCAAATTACAGTGATATGTCAAAACAAAAAATATGTTCCCCCGATCTCCTAGACGCTTGCATTTGAAAAATGGGAACTCAAAAATCTTGACTCCTGTAAAGTTTTAATAAAACAGAAGATAGAAAACAACAGGCTGTTGCTATCTCACCCAAATATAAATTAGTCTTTGCTCAACTATCTGCCTGTGCAAATGTAAATTCTCGCAGATTCCACTCCGTTGGGAAACTTCTCATCAAAAAAAGTGAAAAGAACTTACCGGCTAAGTGTCCTGCGTACTTTGTACACACCTCTAAAAAGGTGTACAATTTGCTCACCTGTGATACTGAGCTTTTCATTCTTAAAGTTTTGGGTCACTGTTCAGGTAAAACTTGTAGAAGCACCGGATAGTAGGGCTCCCTGTACAGAAATGGAAGCGGGGGACCTCCTTCGGCAGGTGCCTACAAAGTGCCTCTTGCGGCTGCTGGCCCCTGGAAAGCTCCCCAGAGCCAGGTGCCCAGAACCCTGTCTGTAAGGGTGAGACAAAAGCACGTCCTGCTCCAGCACAGGGAGGGTGAGGATGGGGGAAAGGCTGTCGTGAAACAGAAATTATATTTCGTTTCTCTGCAACTGTTCGATGACCTCAGCATAGAGGTCGTATCTGATTAATTAGTCCTGCGCTGTCTACGTTCTGCTTGTAAGAAGCTCTTCATTTGTGTGTCTTAAGCATATACAGTAGCACAGCCTACAAAACTTAAGAATGCAAAAACAAGATTAAAAAAAGAGCTCTACCAGAGATGAAACATTATAAAATATTGTGCTATTTTTCTCACATGTATTTAATTAGTTCTACTATTAGTGATTACTCCAACTGCTGCTGCTAACTAGTTCTATTGCTGTATTGTTTAAATAGCAGCTTTGTTACAGAAAAACAGAATAATATATAATTTCAAATAAACATTTTTCACATTTATGTTAAAGAACACATGTTTATGGTTACTTCTTCTATATTATATTATATTTTTCTGTCTGTTATGACTGTGTTCCAGATTGGCTCCCTAAAAAGTGGGTCACTTTAAGGAGAGAAACAGCATAAGAAATTGTCCCAAATCTGGCAGGCACAAGTTTTGGGAATAAAAAGAGTCACTGCATATCAAGTAAATGAATGAAAAAAAGACCCCAACCGAAGCACATCACGGAGAAGTTTCAGAAAAGCAGGGAGAAGAAAGGTTCTAAAACATTCTGCAGAGGAAAAAAAAACAGATCACACACAGAAGTCTCGGGATCAGGACGACCTTAAACTTTTCAGCAACTACCCTGAAATCTGAGAGTACTCATTATAGTATTTTTTTAAAAACCTTTCCTGCTTTCAACACTGACTCCAAGTTTATAGGGGAATGCGTTTCAACATGGAAGTCCACATCCAGGCGAACCATCAATCAAATGACCGAATTTGCAAGTACAATGAAGACATCTTCAGACAGGCAGGAGCTGGACGGTGAACTTCCCACGCCTTCTTTTTCAGGACGCTGTTAGAAAATACACCGCAGCACACTGTGTGAGCCAACAGCAAGCCAGGAAGAAGGGCCCAGAAACCAGGACATTCAAAGCAGTAAATGGGCACGGGACAACCCGTACTGACCGACGGACAGCAGGTTTGGACAGCAACCAGCCCAGACTGAAACTGCAGGGAAGGGGTTTGGAAGAGCTTCAGGGAAAAAAGAGAAATCAGTGGATTTTAAAAATTTTGACTGTTTTGAAATATCTTTGACATACGACACACATGATGAAATAGGCAGAGGAAAAGTAGAGATCCCTACGCAGTGATACTTATGAAACAAATGAAAACAAGCAAATTATTACTTGTAGGGGGGGAAAAGCTGAACAAGAAACACATAATTTTAATATTACACTGATCAGCAGTGAACTATGTTTAATAACATCATGACGCGAGCAATACGCAGTGTTAAGGACCGAACTCACGCTGTCAGCACAGAGCGGTGTTAGAGGGGACGGGGAAAGGAGAGGGAGTGCGGCCGGAGATGAACTGAAGTCTTGCCCCCTCCAGCGGGAAGCCAGCAGACAGTGACCGCCCATCAAGAAACAGCACTATGGGCATGTTACCTACAGATGTCTCTCAGGGATGGGGCGGGGGTTACTGTTTTTCACTGCAAGTCTTTCGATACGATTTGAATATAACATTAAGTGTATAAATACTTTATTTAAAAATATGCAATACAGATTTCTGAGGCCCACTCTCCGAAGTTTGGATAAATCTGAGGTTGGGGAAGGTGAGGCGTAATTTTCAGCCCCTCAGGTGATCCCGAGAGGGGGAGGCCAAGGACAAGGTCAGGATTTATTTCACAAGTGACAGGTGAAACCGGGATTACACTACCAGAGGCTCCTGCTGGGTCACCGTCCCCTCTGTACCCTTCCCTATCCCCTGTGACCTTAGAAGAGCCCTGTCGGATTTCAGTAAATTCTCTTTAGAATTTTGAATATTTTAGAATTTAGAATTTTAGAATTTAGAATATTTAGAAATATTTTTTAAAAATTTGCAAAATTTGGGGCAAAACCCAGTCTGCAGATTCACCTGTACACCTGCGGTGCAAAAGGAAAGCGGCCAGGAAGGTGGAAAACCCCCGCAGCCCCAGGCCTGTGGGCTGTGAGTACGACGAAAACCCGAGCTGGTTTCTAAGGTGAAGCAACTGGGCAATTAGGCAGTCGAGGCGAGGAGCAGCAGCAGACAAGTGAAATTTCCCATCCGGAGAGAAGACCCAGGAAGAAGGCGGGATGTGAAGGTTACCTCTGAATTCGAATGCTCTGATCTGAGAATCCTTGTGTGTCGATCATCACATCTGCTTCATCCAGGACAAACACACGAATCTTACTCAGATCGAATAATTTTCGCTTGAAAAACCAGTGGAGGACAGTCCCGGGGGTGCCAATTATAATTTGCTTGGTGACGTCGGTGCTTCTGGGAACTGGGGAGAAAGGGTTTGCAGGGCTTCTTCAGAGGCAAACAGCCCACAGCGCAGGGCAGCGCGACACAGGACTCCCACGCTACAGTGCATTTCCAAGTGCAACCCAGAGGTCACCACGGCTGTTAAATCTGCAGTTTTAAAATAAATTCCCGAGTTTCTAGTTTTACGGTAACAGTGGCATCCTGCGTGTTTGATTCACTGCAAAGCCGCCTTGCAGCCACGCCGCCACCCTCCAGAAGCGCGGGCACAGCCGGGCAGGCCCCACCACCCTCCCCAAAGGGGGAGCCACCGAGAGCCTCTCAGCAGCCTACGTCCAGTAAACGCTGGAATCCTACGCAGCTGCTCAGAGGAATGAAGTGGGGTTACATGGACTCATGTGGAAAGACGCCCCAAATACTTAAGTCTCTGAACGTTATGAAAAAAAACACTCCCGATTTTGAAAACACTCTAACAAATTCGTATATGTACATTTATAAGTGCATGAGCTCCAAATAAACAAAGAAAAAAAGCAAAAAAAAAAAAACAACAGACTGTTAACAAAACCACAGTTGTCTCTGGAGGCAGGTTTTCGCAGGACAAGGAAGAACAACTTTCACTTTTACCTTCTGATCTTTTAAAGATTTTTGTTCCTGCTCTACATATGTAATACTTTAATACAAAAACTAAATGTAAAAACTGTTCTGTACCAAACAACTGAGCTTCAAAGAAAAGAATATACACAAGCCTCCTCTTGCGGGAGGGGGACATCGTGGCAGGAAGGGCCCCCGGCCGGCACCAGGCGCGCGGCAGCGCTTTGCATCATTTCATTGCATCCTGACACCAACTCTATGCGGTGCTGTTACAGCCCCATTTTAGAGATAAGGAAGCAGAGGAGACACGTAACCGGCCCGCTGGTCGCGGAGCTGGACCGGGAACACCCGCCCAGCCTGGCTTACTGGCACATACTTGAGTTCCCGCGAATGGCATACATCACTTGGACATCCACACAGAACTGCCCCATCTGCTCAACCACACGGCCTGTTTGCAGAGCCAGTTCGTAAGTAGGAGCCAGGCAGAGACACTGAAATTGAGAGAAGGGGGAAGGAGAAAGGTTCCTCTCAGCCATCATGCAAGTTTGAAATACAATTAAAATTTGTACAGGGAGAGACACAAAAGTGAAATGGGAGATTTGGGTTGAATACAATTTTAGCAGCTGAGGGGTATGAGGTGAATGCTGAGCATGGGAGGAGAGGAGGGGCTGAAGGAGGGAGAATGAGCTACCTTTCCTGTGCTCCTCTCTAAGGGCCGTGAAGGCCCACAGGCTACGGGTTCACTTTCTTGGGTGGGGGAAGAACGGAATGCAAAGAGGCTGGCAATCAAAAAGAGGCAGAATGTGACAAATGACAGTTGGAGTGGGATCCTCATCACCTCCTGTGGGCTGTGAGAAGTCCGACCATTTCCAGAACATTCCCTGCTTGACCTGATGCACGTGCCTCTCCAGCATAATACTCCCTTCACCTCTTTCACGGGTTACCTCCCCCCCTGCACCGTGAATAGTGGCTGCTGATGCGTGAAGGTGTTGATGGAAGAAACTGGTGATATTTAATGCTTCAATTAAAGGTGTGTGATAGAGAGGAGAGGGAAACATAGCTCAAGTGGTAAAAGTCATTTCTACACACATTTCTCAAATACAGCTTTTCCCCCCAAATTTTCATTCACAGTATCAAACCCCAAATATAAATTTCACTGAACTTGTCTAAAAAAAAAAAAAAGATGACTTCTGCGCTGGCCAGGTGGCTCAGTCAGCTGCAGCGTCGCCCCGTACCCCGAAAGGCTGCGGGTTTGATCCCCAGCTGGGACATGTACTGAGGGCAACCGATTGATGTTTCTCTCTCCCACTGGTATTTCTCCCTATCTCCCCTCCTCTTCCTCTCTCTCTAAAATCAATAAACATGTCCCTCGGGTGAGGATTTAAAATAAACAGGTGATTTTATAGGTCTGGCTTCAGCTATTCACATCCCTACTCATCCCGCTGAACAGAGCGTAAACTGCCTGAGAGAACCCTCGTTCCCCCCACAGCACCGAGGTACTCGGCGCGGAGGTTCCCCCGCACTCGGCACTGAGGTACTCAGCTCGTCAGAGGAGTGGATGAGAACAGTCCGGAGAAAGGGAGCGATCCCCAGGTATTTTCCACGAGTGGAAGCCAGACGAGGAGCAGGGCAAGCGCCGTTCCGCCCCGGCTCGCTCTCCGACCCCCGTGACCTCTGTGAGACGCTCCCCTCTCCAAGCCTCGGTTTCCGCCTCTGCTGCAGGAGTGAGCTGGGCCAGAGGATCCCCTCGTTCTTCGTGCCAAGCACGGTGCTAACAGCGTGCACTACTTCGCTTAAGCTGCCCGGCAGCCCTCTGAGGCAGGCGTTCAGGCCTTCACGCGGGCACTCGCCCACTCACTCAGTGTTTAAGGGGGGTGGTTTCTACAAGCCGGGCGCTGCGCTTGGTGCTCGGATTCAGGGTGGTCAGAAGGACTACAATCCACGCCTTTACAGATGTCATCTTTACGAGGAAACAGACTCAGAAAGATGTGCTGCCTCTCCTAGGACCCTCAGCTAGTGAGAAGAGAGGGAGGGACCGGAACCAATCCGACTATAACGCTTGTGCTCTCAGTCACTGCCCCCTACTTCGGCCCAGTGCTCTACGATTTTATGAAAAAGGATGTATTGTTAATATCATCTTGTTAAGCAGTATCACCTGTTCCCAAAATATCACTGGCATTGAAAGCAGTCCCGTCTCTCGTAGCCTCCCCTACCTGTGGGAAGAGATCCAAGGCGTTGACTCTGCTGAGCATTGCCAAGACGAAAGCGGCTGTTTTCCCTGTGCCAGACTGGCTCTGGGCTATGAGGTTCTGGGGTCTGTAGATAAGAGGAGATCCCTGGGCATACACTGAATATTAGAGACTAAAAGTAACCGAGTCGGGATACCACGAGCCCGGACACTCACGGGTGCGCCAGCATCATAGGGAGAGCCATCTCTTGGATTTTGGATGGTCTGTTAAATCCCATTGCATAGATCCCTTTTAGTAACTCATCCTTTCTGTCAAAAAAAAAAAAAATCAAACACTTAAAGCTCATGATTGGTCAGTAACCTCAGAAATACAAACCTGAAAGGTGCATTTCTAAGTCAGGCCACCCTGTAACTGACCTTCAAAAATAACATTTAGAAATAAATAATTTACACCTCAACTCTCAAACACATATGACCAAGACCCCTAAATAAATACTCTATAAGCCTAGCATAAAGACAGTAATGGAACCTAACAGTGAACTTTCTGTTGAACCAAGTGAAAGAGGAAAAAACGCATCTGACAGAAGTGTATCAATATGCCAGAAAGAGCTTTCTTCTGCACAGAAGCTGAAAACTACATGAGATTAATTATTTTTAATGAATGACAAACTTTGATGTTTTAACAGCTATTTTCAGAGAAGACAGAAATGTCTTTACTTATCAAGTCTGCCCAGGAGCAGAAAGCACTATCCCCTCATCCTTCTGAGCCAGTCTTTTTCAGTGTTTCTCTCCCGGGTCTCACGACAGATGTTAGGAGGAGGGTAAACAGAAGCGGGCTGGAACGCTTCCGCCTTCAATAACGTGCACATTTTGGATGTGCTTCATTGGCAGACTACTTGGTAGATTTTAGGCAGCCAACCTTTTATCATAGGTAGGCTTCTCCTTCAATTTAGAAAATGTCTGGGCCTTGGGATTTTGGATCCTTCCCCTTTACAAAAGTCCATTTCAGTAAATGTTTCCTTAATGCCAACAGATAAATCCTTAGGAAATGCAAGCCCATTTGGGGAAGGCACTCATTTTAATGCCCGTACCTGTGTCTTGGTATGGAGAGTGGTAACGTGGCTGTGTCTGGCTTAGCAATCCCTCTTAGCCCAGCAAGATCAAAATATTTTACCATAAAAAAGTTCTCAATTTGCTGAACAAGGCAGGCTCCTAGTGCACCTCTTCGAGCTGTATTTTAATTGCATGCAAAATGTACACATCTCATTTTAACATTAAATATTGGAACACAAAGGCGAGATCCTGATGGTTTGATTATTAGCAGGTTAGTTTGTTCTGTGCTATGCTTTCCAGCATTTTCCTCCAGCAAAAGAGTAAAAATACTCACAGCCGCAGCTCTTCGAATGTTTTCACGGAGTAGAGTGGAGAGCTGGGATCTTTTTGTAAGACTTCGACTTGGTGACAGGATTCTACTAAGGACTGCCGGATTAACTTGTTTAAGAGTGAATTAGCTGCCAAATCCACTAGAAAAGCAAGAATAAAAAAAGGGGTATGGGCAGGGGGAAATTCAGGCTTCCTAAAAGGCACCTAGTAAGTGGCTCCATCCCATTTAGTGGTGTGTATCAAGCAACTGCTCCTACTCTCGTATTTCTTCTAAGTAAGTTTCTAGAACCCTGATGGGAGTGGCTCAGTTGGTTGAGTGTTGTCCCACAAAACGAAAGGCTGATGGTTTGATTCCTGGTCAGGGCACATGCCTGGGTTGTGGGCCCATCCCTGGCTGGGGTGTGTGCGAGAGACAACTGATCCATATTTCTCTCCCTCTCTTTCTCCCTCCCTTCCCTGCTCTCTAAAAATAAATAAATAAAATCTTTTAAAACATATTAAAAAAATAAATAAGTTTCCAGAAAGAATCACATAGCACTGAGAATTCCTTTTTCTCAAGGGGATCCAGTTTCTTGCTGCTATGCCAGCCTCTAACTTCAAGCAAGTCTACATCCATCAGCAGCAGACCTCATTTTTCCTTGGCAGCTGAAAATTCTTAATCCATTGCTACAAATTTCATTTCAACATCCTCTAAGAAATATGCTCCACTCCTAAGTTAGTATTTCTCCTGATATTCACTGTTTGTAAAGAAAATAGAGGCAGAGCCAGCTCTCCAATTGAGATTACATTATTCATATTATGAAGCTCAGGATTAAGTGAAACAGAACGGTAGTAGATACATGCAAATGAATTTCTCTCCTACCTACATCTTCTTCATCTTCTTCTGTGTTATTAATGGAATCATCTAAAAGGATGAAAGAGAAACAATAAACGTAACGATTAAGCATCGAGCAGGCATTTAAAGTATATTATCCGCATTTCTCTTTCCAACTCTACAGTGCGCACTGACAGGAAGGGCCACCCAGGGGATGGGTGGGTAAAAAGCCTGGGAAAGTAGTGGAGGGTCTCGAATGTTAAATTAAGGAAGCCAAATATATTTCAGTTGCCAGGGACATGAGGAAAGCAATGCTCTTTAGTTGAGGCCGATCGGCTTTACCCTACAGCACTTACGTCGGTTTGAGACTGCGGTATTCTTCATATCCTCAAGGTTATTCTGGTGGGGGGCGGGGCTTGAAAACTATTGAAAGAGACAAATTTCAACCAGTATTAGGAAGCAAGGCTTCAAGAAGCACACTGCTATCCCTAACAGGGACTGGAAGGAGTGCGGAAAAGACCGCCCAAATGTTGTTCCCTTGGCAATGTTAGGTATGCATGGATTCCTTTCGGAACAGTTCTCCTGTACGAATTATCCTAAAACTAGAGGAGCCTTTTGGCTGCTCCTGTATGTACAGTTCCTCTCTTAGGCCTCTGGTCTAAATGTGGCCGTCCGTGGGGGGGTCACACACAATGTGACTAGGATGGTGGCTAGGAAAACGCCTTGGCAGAGAGGTGGAGGGAAGCTAGCCTCGGGTGAACGGTCAAACCGGGAGAGGAGGAAAGTCAGGGTCTGCCTGGGACAACCGGTAGCTTTCCCTTCAAGGACTTCCCGGTGCCTTCATTCTGCCCTTTCAAACCAACGGTCTCGTCTCTCTCCGGGTCTCGGTTTCCGGGCCTTCTTCCAAGTCCTTGCCACTCCACGTCTCCCCTCCACCGCTGGACACAACACTTTCCCCCCACACACAACCACCACCGCACCCCGGAGATTTCCCCGGGGAGTGCTGTCCTAGCCCCTGCCCCTCTGCCCTCCAGGTCGGTGGCGGTTACAGGGCTGTTCAGATGCTCGCTCTCTGCCGCCCCTGGGTCGCCTTTCCACAGTAACGACGCCATGGCTGCGAACTGCGCTCAGCCCCTAGCACGTGCGTCCTGCGTGTCGAGGCACGTCGGACCCCACTCAGTGGCCAATGAGCTGCCTCCAAGGGCAGGTGCACGTGCTGCGACCGTCGTGACGCAGCGCAGGCTGCCGGCTCCCGGAAGGAGGGGGGAGGGGCAAGGAGGAAAAGAGCCCTCCGCGAGGAAGGGACCATGTCCAGGGAGGAGAAGGGTGGCAGGGGAGCGCAGGAGGTCCGGGGGAGGAGGTGGGGCTGCGGGAGAACCTGTCCATCACAGGCTTCTCTTGGCCAGCCCCACACCATGCCAGGTGCTGGAAACCGGGGAGGGGCGCTGTCGCAGTGGACGTTTGCCTGCTGCTGATCGCTGGTAAGATAAGAACAGCTTGGGACTCTAAGCTAAGCAGTCATGATCTTTGTACCTTCCTTCCCCTCCTACTCACTCCGCAAGTAATTCTCTAAGTGATCAGGCTGGACGCCCCCGTCCTGCTTCAAGCTCTCAAGCGCACGTTTCTCCCCGAATTTCTACTTACACGTGACCAGAAGTCAGAAAGGCTGCGAATTGCTAGGAAAGTGAAGGGTCAGAATGAGTACGTTTCGTCTGACAAATGAATTCGAACGCGAAAGGTGTGAAGAGAAAGTAAAGTCGTTCAGGTTCCAACTTCTGTCCCTGTTCTTAAATACTTGCGATGCCTCCACAGCCTGGTTTATTTTAATTCTGACTCTGATGTGTGCCCCTTGCTAAAGCAGTGCTTAGAAGACTGTACCTGGTGGCACAACCTCCACCTCCTCTCTGCACTGCATAGTTGGGATAGATTCCTTCTACTACTGACTGCTGAACTTGGACTAAGGAACTGGATCCCACCCCCCCCCAACACACACACACACACACAAACACACACACACACACCCCACACAGTTTTTCTAACTGGAAGCTTGAAATTTGGATCAGTCTCTAGAAAAACCTACAAAGATCTAGTCATGCTCTCTCCGTGGTACTGAAGCCAGACTCCGAACTGTTAGTCACTCGCAGGCTCCTTAATCGTTTGTTTTGAGGTTACGATAGTCCTTTTCAGCTCTTACATGCGAGTTCCAGTAGTAAAAAAAAAAAAAAATTGTCTCTCAGTGTTAGCGTTCTACAAATTTAAATAGGTATAAAATCCAGCCAAGTTCTTTAATCTTAGTTTTCATATAAGGGTGGCAGACCTTTGAAGTTACTTATTATGTTAGCGCATTAGAATTTATCTGTTTACTCTTGTACCGCGCCAAGATTAGGTGGAGAAACGGTGGCCAGACTGGAAAACACGAGCCTGATCGCCACGCTCTTGGAACGGCATTTACCACAAAGTTGGACTACAACTCCCATGAGTCCCCGAGCGCGCCTGGGAGACGCAAACTGACAGCTTCCTGTCTCGCGAAAAGCCGCCTGGCGGACGACCGGAAGCTAAGTGTGGGGTTTCATTAGTGGGTTTTTTTTCTGGATTTTATAAAGAGGAACGGACAAATGGACAAATGTTGGACGTTTTTCCATTCCCAGCCTCCTTTTCATACTTTGGCCTTTTCAGGAAAGTTGCCAGTATGTGGGAGTGGGATCTCGCTTTAAGAACCTGTGTTTGTGTTTAGTACCTCTTGGAGCTCCTGGCGGAAACTCGCAGCAGGAGGATTCTTAGAGGGCCCTTGGACTGTGAAGGCTCTGCTCCCTAGGTGAGAATTGTTTGCCCATAAAATTAAATACTAGTAAAGGACGGGATTCCAGTAGGTTGTGGTGTGGGAGGAAGGCGTGGCGACATTTTTCGTTTGGGGGATTGCTTTCCAATGTTACTGATCATAGGTTCGTGTTTTCTGATCCTGTTGTATTAGCTCTCCATTCCTCATTGGTTTAAAATAAAATTTATCATGGGAATGCCCTTTCTACAACTCCAGTAGTTACTAATATTTGCGAGACTAACACCGTTTGAACTTTTAAAAATGTGTTGAAACTAGTGACGGCTGTGACCATGTTAACCGGCGATGCTTGGCGCACGCACGAATACCCTCTTTGCCGTAACTCGGCGGCCTCCTTCCGCTTGGGAACCACTGTACTCCTCCCTGAGAAGGGTATGACGTGCAGGGGAAAGCACTGCACTAACTCAGGAGTCTTGGGCTCAAGTCCTTTTTTTGCCACAAATCTTACTACCCCACGCTTAAACCCTTTGGACGGGTTATTTGGTTAAATAAGGGGTTGAACTAATCACTTTGGAAATTTTCTGATTTGGTTAATACTGAGCTTTGAAATACATATAAACCATTGGAGCGTTTTACTGTAATTTGCATGCAAAAATGTCATGTGACTTTTTAACTTTAAAAAAAAAAAATAAAAACTACCTTTAATTCCACTTCCCAGTGTTTTGATCTTCCCTTGTGCTTTGTGTGTATGGATGTAGGACTGATACCATACTGCAGTTTGCAGCCTATGTGTTTCACTCAATTTGCATTTTTCCATTAGCTTCCTAATTTCTAATGACAAATGTTCTATTTAGTCACCTATTGTATAATTTGCAGTTTTTGTTTGCCATTAGTACATCCTATACATATATATGTCACTGATTGTTTTATTTCAGTGATAAATTCCTAGCAGTGGAACTGGGTGAATGAATGATATAGCCTAAATATTATGGAGAAAATGTATTTTAGCAGACAGGTCAAGGTTATTCCTTTTTATGTCACACAGCTGTTTTTCTTTGAAAGAGCAAACTATTTCTGCTATCACTCTTCCGTCTTCAGATGTTAAAACTGACAACCTTCAGTCTGTAGATGTACCTCACTGGATTAGAATCAAGAACAAGGAGATCCAATTTAAGGTAAACAGAATTAGGGTTTGGTCTGTACTCAAATTGGCCAGATTCATTTTGGTATTTATGCTGGCATCCGGTTCCAGATGTGAGCAGTTTGAAGTTCTGTTGCAGAACGGGAATGCCCTTCAAGTGATAGGCATAATTTTCTAAGACAACCTAGAGCAAATGATAAAAAGCATGGTATTCTAGAAGTAACAACTGGAGGGCAATATATTTAAATAATTTTGAAACCAAATGGGCTAGAATTCTGTATGTCACAGAGTGCTGTTGTGGAGCATCTATTAAAAAAAGTTATCTGGATTCACTAATGAAGGGTAGCTGTGATGTGATCTTTCTTCTTTCCCGTAGGTTTGAGTGTGTCAAGAGCAGGTTTTGCGCGCCCCCCCCCCGCCCCCGGCCCTTGGCTCTCATCATTTAGGGGGTGAGAATACGATGGGGAGTACAGTTGGAAGCGAAATCCTAACTCGGGTTGGAGATCATCTTACTTTGGGAAATATTTAAGTACAAATAAGGGCAAGTCCACAATATCCAAAATTCTTTAATGGATAAACTGAACGCCCAGCAACTTTAAAAACACACTAGTAAAAACAGCAACTCACACTGGCCAAAGGTAAAAAGAGTATAGAACAGAAATAGTGCCAGCTGATTTTGCTTACTATTCTGACAAGCAGAAAGACCAGGTCTATTTTTCTTCCTCTGGCATGGCTTCTCTTGGGCTTTCACATTAGTTGTTTCCACTTAAACAAAAGGAAAGATATAGAGTACCATGTTGTATCAATCATGAGAAAGGAGAGGCAGGTTTTTTTAAAAGCCTTAAGAAGGAGAAAGAGGAAAGGGAAGCTTCCTGGGCATGACGCCATTTGCGAGGTCACAACGAATACCCCAACGAAGGGCAGATCTCTTCTTCTCAGTTGGTACTAAATAATTGTTTGGAACATATATGTGCTGAGGCTTGGATTGGGGTTCTGCTCTCTGACAAAGCATCTGTTCTCGGATACCCCAGCGTAATTCCTTCCTGTGATCCTCACCAGGTAACCGCATTGAGTCCCAGTCTCGTTTGTACTCAAAGTAGCGGGCTACCCGGTCTACCTTGCCCCGGTTTCGACTTAACTGGTCCAGCCTTGGGAGAATAAAGGACTTGGGTCGGCTGGCAACGATCAGGTCTTGTTCATAAGCTGGAGGGCCCATTCCTTCTCTTTGTAGATAGCAAGCAAGCTGATCTTGAGAAATTCCTTGGTATTCATGTGGTAGATTAAATTTTTCTGAAATATCAACAGGGGATTCCCTGTCTTTCTGGAACTGCAGGTTCATCAACCTTTGTCTTAAGTCCCAGAGATCCATATTACTTTCTGTACCAGACTCTGATTCGCTGATAATTGACTCATCTGTCACTAATACTTCCCCATCCGGCTTCCTACGGAGCACCTTTCTCTTCATCACTGGCTTTCGGAGTCTTTGGGAGGCCTCTGAGACCGTTTCTGGAGTGACATTACTTTCTGCGTGTGGGTACTGCAGTTGCACGGGAAGAGCAGGTCTCCTTCCTGGGGTTACTGAAGCTTTGCTGTAGGGATCATATTGGGTAGACTGGGCTTGTCTCCTGACATCTCCCTCACCCTGCCCCGCACAGATTTGGGTAAAGGCTGTAGCAGCTGCTAACATTCGTTCTTCTGGATCCATATTGGCCCATTTTTGTCCACTAGGTCCCATGAGTTCTTCCATTGCTTCCCCTACACTGTAGGACCTTCTGCAAGAAAAAACACTCATCAGTTTTCTAATTATAAATTCCCAGCTCATAAATTGTTTTTTCCCCTCTTGTCTATTATTTCATAGCAGTGAAATGAAGATAGAATGGCTAATGCAATCATAACTACAACAGTTATATAATAAAATATAGATAGTATAGGAATGGGGTTTTTTTTGGGGGGGGTGCATTAACTCAGTTCTGGGAAAGCTACTACCTGCTTTCATTTCCACTCTCTTCTTATTCATTCCTGCTTTCTACTGCCTAGTACTTCTTGCCGCCTTTAGTAACTCCTAAGGCAGGATAGGTAAGTTCTGACATAAGGAAAGCTTGAGACTACATGACATGGGGCATAATACTTAGTGTACATTATGGAGTTTGTGCTTAGAAGGACACTTCATGTATCCAGTATTGTTCTATGTGCTTTACATTCATTAATTCATGTGATTCTCACAACTGTGGGATAAGTACTCTAATTACCTCCTTTTCACAGATGAGTAACATGAGGCATATAGAGATGAAATAACTTAGCCCAAGGTTACACAGCTAGGAAGTTACATAGAATTCTAGTGTGTGAATGTACCATAATTTTTCAGCTACCCCAAGACTGACTGACTTTAGGGTTACAGTCTTTTGCTTAAAAAAAAAAAAAATTACAGTGAGTATCTTAGGAATTTTTATATACCTGTGCGAGCATATGTGTATGTTAAATTTCTAGAAGTGGAATAGTTGGGTCAAAGGAATGTGTGTACTCAATTTTGATAGCTGTTACCAATGCCCTCTAAAGAAGTTGTATTAATAGTGTGTTATAGAGCTTCTTTCTCCATTCCTCTTCCAGGGTGGTGCACTATCAAACTTCCTAGTCTTTGCAATTAGTTTGTTTAAAAAAAAAAAAAGTTCTCATCAAATTTGGCATTTATTTAAACTGAATAAAATTGAGCATATTTTAATATATTTATAAGCTTTTATCCCCTCCTCTTTGTATAAAATACTTGTTTTCCTACTTACCTGTCAGGTTGTTGAACTTTTTAAAATTTGAACTATTAAAATTGGTTTATATATTCATGAAATACTTATATATTAAGGAAGTTAAAGTTAGCCATTTACCATCATTAATTTTTTTCTTCTGACTTTATTTTTTTACTGATGGAATCTTTATTTTTGGGTAGTCACACTTTTGGTTTTCTCTAGTTTCTGGGTTTCTGTGGTGTTTTCCTTAGAAATGCCTTTATCACTCTAAGATTTTAAGAAAGTTATTTCATGTATTCTTCTAGTACTTTTATAGTTTCATGTTTCAGAGTGAAATTTTAATTTATCATAAATATAGAAACTCAAAGGGCAAAAAACTAAATGAGTTACCTAGACTTAGACAACATCGTCAACCTTAGAACAAATGTCCAAATGATCTCCTGTTACTAATCATCAGTCATAGGTTGTCTGGTACCATTTTTAAGGATGTAATACAGTTGTCCTCAGATTATTGATATATGCCAGGAATTTCAACACTGATATTTAAATTACATCATCTAAACTAACTTTTCTAAGTGCTAGAGGTACAGAGAACTTCTTTCAGAACATGCATTAAATTTGACTTTAAAAAAAGATAATGCTGTTTAGTTACCTTCTTTCTGCCATCAAAGTTGCTTAAAATGGGAAAATCTTGACTCCGGGTTCTACTTCGAATATAGAGTACAATCATCAGCAAATTTCTTCAATCAGACTAGCTTCTATTGTACCACCTTTAAGACAGAACTGAGTATTAGATGATAGAACATACAAGCCACAAATTTTATCTGAGAGACTGGAAAGCAACAGACACTTAGAGTAAACATATATATTCTGTACCAACATATCTTGATTGGAAAGATTGAACAAACATAATGAGAAGTCAAAAGGAAATATTTTAAGGGAAAAAAATATCAGTAACGTCACTCCTTAATCATCTCAGCAAATGAACAAGACAGACATGAAATCTACAGTCAATTTTTCTAAATTCTATTTAAACCTTAACAATGCTAGCTGAATATTTTTGATACTACTTTCCTTCTCCCCTCTGAACTGGCCACAGAGGATGGAAAAGAATAGTATCTGTGGATGGTCAACCCATAACAATTAAAGTAATGCTTGTATCCCTGGACAGGTGCAAAAGTCAGCTTAAGGCATTAAGTTAAATCTTAAATACTATTTGAATATAATGGGAAGCTACTGACATGATCAAAGGAACCAGCGCTGAATCCTTTTACTCTCTTTTCAGGTGGCAAGGACCCATATGATTCATTTATTCCTGGGGTTGTCTTATCATGGCTGAAAATGACATAGACAGAATCCAGACTGACAAACTCCTAAAAAGAATACAAGAACTAGAGCAGGAGGTACAAAGACTTAAAAAAGAACAGGCCAACATCAAGGACTCAAATATTAGAGAAAGTTCTTCAGGAGCTGGAAAGGCTAAGCGTGCATTTGATTTCAGTGCCCACGGTCGAAGGCATGTAGCCCTAAAGATAGCCTATCTGGGCTGGGGATATCAGGGCTTTGCCAGTCAGGACAACACAAACAATACAATTGAGGAGAAGCTGTTTGAGGCTCTAACCAAGACTCGACTAGTGGAAAGCAGACAGACATCCAACTACCACCGGTGTGGGCGAACAGACAAAGGTGTTAGTGCCTTTGGGCAGGTAAGGGTCACTATACTGTTTCTCAAAGCAAGCAACACCAGTATGTTCTAGGTGTCCATGCTGGGGATTCAGACTATGTGTATCTCTTAACACAGTATCTTTCTCTAATTCCACAGGTGATTTCTCTTGACCTTCGGTCTCACTTTCCAAAGGACAGGGATTCAGAGGATTTTAACTTAAAAGATGGAGCCGACGATGCTGCTAAAGAGATCCGTTACACTCACATCCTCAATCGGGTGCTCCCTCCAGACATCCGTGTGTTGGCCTGGGCCCCAGTGGAACCTGGCTTCAGTGCCCGGTTCAGCTGTCTTGAGCGGACATACCGCTATTTTTTCCCTCGTGCTGATTTAGACATTGTAGCCATGAACTGTGCAGCTCAAAAGTATGTTGGCACACATGACTTTAGGAACTTATGTAAAATGGATGTAGCTAATGGAGTGATTAATTTTCAGAGGACTATTCTGTCTGCTCAGGTAAATCTAGTGGGCCAGAGCCGGGTTGAGGAGAGATGGCAGGAACCTTTCCAGTTATGTCAGTTTGAAGTGACTGGCCAGGCGTTCCTTTACCATCAAGTCCGCTGTATGATGGCTATCCTTTTTCTAATTGGCCAAGGAATGGAGAAGCCAGAGATTATCGATGAGCTGCTAAACATAGAGAAGAATCCCCAGAAACCTCAATATAGGTAAATTTTTAAAATAACAAAACAGCTTTTTTTAGGTTATTCTAAAATATATTCTAACAAGTCTTTCTCTCCCTACAATTGTCTAAATAACTAAGTTACTGAATCTTCATGAAGCTTTTCCTCTAACTTGCAAAAGGTTATGAACACATGGGAGGGAGCAGTGTCTTTGGATTTTTCTTCTCACACTTCTATCCTAGTAGTAAGAAATGGGTGTTTGGCCCAGACCCCTTAAATAAAAGCACATTCTTTTCTACATTTTTTCCCCTTGGATTTATGTTGAGGTATTGTTAGGTTCTGCTGAAGTTAAACAGTGATCATTCAAACTATTCATATTAAAGCTTGTTCCCTTTGTTTTATGGAATAGTCATGGTACTGTACTTTGGATTTTTTCCTAATTTTCAGTTTCGGAAATGGTAGGAAAGGTAGGAAAAATAGTCGACTTTCCTTTTGAGAGCAGGCTGAGCTCAGACCAGTAATTTATTCCTAAGCAATGAAATATGTAAGTTTTTACTTCATACTACACAAAAGTTTGGAAAAACACCATTAGCTGTTTTTAATTGTATAGCCATATGGTGGAGGCAAGTCAACTCACTTCTAGGTGACTTGTTACCACTGAAATTTACCCTAATATAGATCAAGCCTAACAGCTGACAGTTTGTTGCCCTCCCCCCGCCCTTTTTTTTTTTTAGTGATAATGTTGTGCAAGGTTAGGGATAGTGTTGTATTTTCTTATCTGTTAGATACTTAATATTGACAAAGTTTCCCCCCTTCTTTTAACCCAACTAACCCCGTTTTTCCAGAACTACTGGATGGCTGCTGTGTATTCTCATACTGTTTTATCTCTCTTTCTCCCTAGTATGGCTGTAGAATTTCCTCTAGTCTTGTATGACTGTAAGTTTGAAAATGTCAAGTGGATTTACGACCGGGAGGTTCAGCAGTTCAATATTACCCACCTACAACAACAATGGGCTAATCAAGCTGTTAAGACTCACATGTTGTACAGTATGCTGCAAGGACTGGACTCTGTTGCAGTACCCTGTGGGACAGGTATGACAGGGAAATCCAAGGATAAAATTATTTACCAGAACCAAAGTTATACAGGGTTATGGGGTAGACATATATAATGTTTGGAGGTGATTCTATGGTGGTAAAGTATCCATGTAATGACTGACTGTGTATATTATAGGAACAGAGACGGAAGGAGTGATAGAATGGAGAAATGTTAAGCCCCCTGTCGTAAAGCACACCAGTGCCTTTGTAGAAGGAGTGAAAATGCGCACATATAAGCCCCTAATGGATCGTCCTAAGTGCCAAGGATTGGAATCCCGGATTCAGCATTGTGTACGTAGGGGACGCATCGAGTACCCACGTTTATTTAATGAGACAGAAACAAATGCCAAAAGGGAATGTAATGACACAGTAGAGGAAGAAAATACTATTTTAGAGAAACCAACAAAGAGAGTCTGTGTTGATGCAGAAATTAAAAGCATCATTTAACCCCAAAAAACTCACCAGGATCTAGAAGGCAACAACTAGCTAATGATAGTGGGGTAGAAAGTAAATATAATATTTACTTCAGTGAGTCCTAGAATTCAGATGATCAGTTGTTTAAAAAAATGGAAAACCAGAAAGATCACAGGCCTCATTTAAGGAAGTTCTTGCTTGAAAAGCAGATCATTCTCTTGTTCCTGTCCAAATGGATGGAAGAAGCAAAAAGCAAATGTGCAATGGAGATTATTCACATGCACCTGGAAACCTGTGCCTCGTGTTCGAATGTATTAAAGCCTGCCTGCAAGTGTTGTCTAATCTGTTGTGTTGTCCTTTTTAAAAGCAAATGAGATGTTCCCTGCCCGTGTGAACTTGCATAAAGAGTACTGCCTGAGTGTCTTCTTTTCTAGAGCCAGTTAAAAAAACGAAATTTAGTCAGTTAAATTTGATAAATTGGTGTAGTGCCAGGCACAATACCACGTGACAGTGACCTAATGAGGCACAGCATCTCTTAAAAAGCTTATCAGTTTAGTGCTGTGAGCCACAAAGGGTCTCTGCTGCCTATCTGTTCTCCAGCCTTTTACACATGTGAAAACACTAAGCCCACAGCCCATGCCGTTCCCCAACTCCTGGCCTGGCGATTTAGGGCGAGCTGTCATAAAGCTGCCCAAGCTCAATCTACAGAACGAGGGGGAGCCGGGTGAAGTGCAGAAAAAGAAGCAGGGTTAATGTGGTTAAGGCAAAGATGCAGTTCAAATAAAGAGCGAAAAATGACCATATTTACAGTCAGGTAACTGCAAGTACAGTGGTGTGGGTTGAGAGTGACAGCAGCATAGTTTAGAAAGGTGAGCAAGGGCCAGGCCTGTGGAGCCTCGTAGGCCTTCCTAAAAAGATTTAGATTTTTATCTTGAGGCACCTTTGGGAAAAAAAAAGCCAGAACTTCTCTGTGTGTACTGTAGACTGGAAGAGGGCCAGACAGTGGGACCAAACAGGAGGCCGTTGGAGTCACCAAGGAAATGATGGCCTAGATTAGATTTGTAGTAAGGGGAATAGAAGTACATGAATTTGAGATTAAGAAAGGGTCAACAGGACTTCGGGTGAATGAACATGAGGTTCAAAAGTAGGCTTTCAAATTTAAAGCACATCTGAAACAGGCCATGGATGGACCTGGAGAATAATACTGTGCTAAGTGACATAAGTCAAACAGAGAAAAGCAAATACTAGGTGATTTCACTTATATCTAAAAGACAAAATAAATAACAAACAGACTCACGGATGCAGAGAACAAACTAAGGGTTGCCAGATGGAAATGTGTTGCGGGGACTGGGTGAAAAAGGTGAAGGGATTAAGAGACTACAAAATAGTCTCAAGAATACAATGAGTGCAGACAATAAAACTGTAATAACTGTATGTGGTAACAGGTGTGCACTATTATCAGGTGGATCACTTTGTAAATTACATAATTGTCTAACCACTATGCTGTACACCTGAATGAATATAAAATTATATTGGATGTCAACTGTAATTGAAAAATTAAAAAAAAAAAATCACTCCTGACTTAAAAATCAACTCTAAAGAAATGATGCATGGAACAAAGAGCACTAACTAAAAAGTCATACTGGGGAAGAGTCTACAGAAGCAAAGAGGAGGGGATCAGGGTCTCAGGTCTTAAATCCTTTCAAGTTTAACTAGGTTATACTATCAAATCTAGGGTAAGATTTTAGTGACATTATTTTTAGTAGTTAACCATAGGAAGAAACTCAGGACAACCATCATAGAAGAAGCAAGTAAGAAGTCCTAAAGTTTAACTCTGCAGAATCACTTGCAGCTATGTGAGGTAACGTTTGCATAAATTCCAAAGTGCCTGAGCCATGGTGGAGAATAAATGTTAGAAG